TTTTTTTTTTTTTTTTTTTTTTGGCGGAACTGGGGATTGAACTCAGGCCCTTGTGCTTGCCAGGGAAGCGCTTTTCCCACTGAACCGTCTCCCCAGCCCCGGAATTGATTCTAGATGCCCAGCACTTTTTTTCACTTGGGAGCTGCTCCTACCCTTCCTTGGGACAGTCAATCCCACTGCCCTGGCCACTTCATTCAGAGACTTCTAGGAGGCTAAGTGGGTTCTGGCAATGGAAAGGACCTCTCGACTTGTGGAGAAGAGTGATGTAGGCTGGCAGCCAATGGTAGGAGGCTTAAAATGAAGTCAATACAAGAAAGGAAGAGCTGAGACATCAAGAACTTTTTTTTTTTGTATTTTTAGGGAAGGGTCTACAGGGTACTTAGGGTCTCACTACTAGATCGGACTCATAGTGATCCCCCTATTTATAGCCTCCTAAAAGCTGGGATTACAGGCATGTACCACCATGCCCAGTCTCAATCACTGTCTTAGTGCACCCCTGGCCCCTGTGCCTATTTGCAGGTGCCTTAATCCGCTGAGCTATTTGGCTAGCCCTTAAGAATCTTGATTATATCAACGGGGAACTCCTTCCTCTGTCTACCCCTGTAGTCAAACCCAATTTACAGTTTTTGCCCACATATTAAAGGGTTATTTTTATTTCATAATTATGACAGCTTTTAATTAAGTGGATGAGATTGGAAAGATTATATACAATCATAATTAAAGAAATGGGCCTTTTATTTTATAAGAAAATATAATTCTCAATGCATCTTAAAGAATGGAAGGAATATGTACCATTAGCACAGAGCCTACAAATAAGCATGTTTCTAACTGAATATTTAAAAAATTAAAAAGTTATTCTTACCGCATGCCATTGTCTAGCTGGCTGGTTTTATTTGTGTTGGCATCCCACAGGTAAATGCAAGTAGACTTCTCAGCGATCACTGCTAGGATATCTCCGTCTTTATCCCAATCCATGGCAACGCAGTTGCTTTTAAGAAGAGCAAAGCACTACTATTTATTTTTAAAAGGGGAGATAAATTTAAATACTTGCCTATTGTAACTTTGATCCATAACAAAACCACTCAGTGTATTCTGAATAGGTCATAAAAATTCTAAAAGGAGAACTTCAACCTCCTATTCATTGTCTACATAATACTAACATCAACTTTTTTGTTTTGTTTAGAGGACAGAAAAATTTTAAGTTCCATTTTCAATGTTATTTTCATGTACTGCATTATTACATACAGTTATACCTAATAAATTAGCAGGCTTTTTTGAATCCTAATAAAGAACTTGGCCTTCTGTTAAAACTCGTCAAGCACCTCCACAAATGAATCATACTTACAATCAATAGGTAATTTCTGTAATCAAGTTTATAATGTTATAGAGAAAAAAAGAAGGTATTGGTAAGAAATGAAATGATATTCAACACATACAACTTTTTTTGTTTTTTTGAGACAGGGCTATGCGGCTTAGGCTAGCCTTGAACTCACTTTGTAGTCCAGGCTGGCCACAAACTAAAAGTGATCCTCCTACCTCAGTCACCCAGATACTGGGATTATAGGTATGTGTTACTATGTCCAGCTAAAGTTGTATCTAGAGAAAGTGAAAATAAAGTAGATGAAGGCTGGGTAGGTGTACGATTGCAAACAATGGCAAGTCTGAATTCTGAAGTGATAAGAAGTGTTATTGCCATTTTATATCTTGTGGAACAGGAAGAGTGACTTGCTTAAGATGAAAATATTATTATAAATCAGAAATGCTCTACCTAGCATAATTCTTACTGCTTAAGATTATTCCAAAATATTTATAATTTAAAAGCTCTAGAACATCTTACAACCTTAAAAAAAGTCATCATTTTCTTTATGATCTTTTGAGATTCTTTGCTATTGGGCATTGGCTAGATTGCACTTTGATCTACTTTTTTTCTTGGATTGGAGACAGGGTCTTGCTATGTAGTTCAGGCTAACCTTGCACTCACTATATGGCCCAGGTTGGCCTCAACTTCGCAGCAATCCTCTTGCCTCAGCTTCCTGAATGCTGGAATTTCAGGCATGCACCACTATGACCAACCTGACTTACATTTAAGTTGAGAATTACTTCAATAATTTTATTTTTTCAAACTATTAAAATATGTTTTGGAACCTTAGTTTTCTAAAATACTCTCAAATGTTAGGAGTATGGAAAAGACAATTGTTCAAATTGCTGAAAACTAACCTGCCCATTAAAGACTTTGGTGTTAATAGTATTGTGTTTATCTAGATGAAGGACTCTCCACATCTTGGTAACTACCGAAACTATCCTCAGAATAACTAATAGGGGTAATATTGCATGGAATCATCACAAATGCCTACGTTGGGGCTGGGAATATATCTCAGCTGCACAATGCCTTCCTGGCAAGCACAAGGTCCTGAGTTAAATTCCTGACACCTCCCCCCATTTGTAAGTTATACCTTGTGTGATTTAGCGTATTTCCTGAAAATGGACAAAATAAAGTCTTTCTTCTTTAAGAAATATGGGGAAAGTATTTTTCCACAATTTATTAGAAAGGAAATACCAAAATAGATACAGGTTGGACATTCCAAGTCGGAAAATCTTTATTTGGATTTATTTATAATACTGATGTGAACCTTCCCTGTGTATTTACAGATATAAATTCTAACTTATACACTATAGACCTACACATTCCAGCAACTAGTCATTGCATAAAGAAAACAAATCCCTTTGTAAATGGAGAAAGCAAAAGACAATGTTTATATAAGTTACAAAATTCTATTTCGCCTTTTTAAAATATAGTACATTAAAAAAAAAAAATCTTTCAGGCAACAAAGCTTGAAAAGTTTTGGATCTATCGCTGTACTTACCCAGGCAAGTTAATTTCACTTTTTTTTTGACCATGGCGATCAAAGATTTTCACAGTATGATCAGCTCTGAAATTAGAAATATGATTTTAATGTTTTATTTATTTGTGCATATAAAGTATACCATCCAAGTGATTTCAGCAGATTCTCAGTTTCACAATTTGTATCTAACAAATTATTATCCAGGAAAAGGGTCTGCCAGAATGAACTGTCATGCTATTGGAGCTGAACATATTTCTTTTATTTTTTTATTTTTTTTTAAATTTTATTTATTTGTGTGTGTGTGTGTGTGTGTGTGTGTGTGGCCAGCTCAGCCCACCAGGGGGCAGGGCTGGCTGGCATGTGGAGCTGGGGGATTGACCCACGGTCGCTGTGCTTTGCTAAGCTTGTTCTAAGTAGGCGCTTTAGACCACTGAGCCATCTCACCAGCCCCAACATATTTCTTTTAACATCATGCACCTGCCACACAGGAACTTCTACTAAACAGATGGTATAGTTATGTGAGGTATACAATCATTAATTAAAATATTCACTGGTTTCTTACCCTGTTACTGCAAGGTAGTTTCCTGATGTTTTTTGCCAGGTAAATTGTATTGGTGTACCAAGCCAAGTCTTCTCTAGCAATGTGAAAATACGCTAAAAAATAAATACAATTTTTATATTTTCAAAGTATATGCCAGTCAAGCGCTTATCCTACTGAGCCATCTCCCCGGCTCCCAATATATGCAATAAAGGGTTGGTGAGAAATGATCAGAATATCATCATGAAAACAGTATAAATGAGGAGGGTGAAGGCTGCTGTTTTGTGCTTATTCAAAAACAATTAACAATAGAAACCACCCCCCCAAATCACCTAACGAACCAAACACAAGAGGTAGGCACAATATGATCATAACCCTTTTTGTTTTTGAATACTTTCGAGTGATAGTTTTATAAAAATGTATCTTTTAGTATCATATAGATGTTAAAGACTGAAAGAATTTAGACTTGAATTTAGTTATCTAAAAACATGTGGGGTTGAATTTAACAAAATTACTATTTAAAAATCCTAAATGATTTTTCAGACATAAAAGATGCCTACCTACATCTTCTTCAAAATTGTTTTCTTCCTTTAGCTACTAGTTATATTTACTTCATTATTAAATGTTTAACTTGACTGAGAGCGGACAGTGAATCAACTGAAAAATCTCTTTTCATTTATACAATCTAGAACTGTAAGATCCAATATGGAAGTCACAGACCATATGAAATTACTGAGTACTTGAAATATGGGTAACTCATATTTAGATGCAAACATAAAATATATACCAGATTTAAAATACTGAAGAACACAATAGCCCATTGGTAATTTTTCTACCGATTACATGTTGAAATATATTTTGGATATACTGGATGAGAGAATATTATTGAACAAAATTAATTTTAATATTAAATTGCAAACAGGGAGGTCCATATATGTAAGTATCTGAGGTGTAGAGTCTAGTACAGGAGACTTGGGTCTAAGTGGCAACACAATCCCAGGGCTCCGAACTGAACACCAGTCGGTGGGCATTTCCTGTTACAAAAGGAAGCAGGTGTAGCCTATGATCATAGGCGCATTCAGGCGTGGCAGAGCTTGGAGATGCTCCTCAAACAGTGTTGCACATAAAAACACTTTTTTTCAATTTTGTAAGTGCATTACCTGGGAGCCCTTTTACACAAGTGACGAGTCCTTAAACTTGACCTTCACTATCACCTTCCTGGCAGACCTGCCTCTGGGCATGATTTAGAGAGCGGTGATGATGAACCTTTCAGAGCTTTCAATGATACAAAAAGCCACCGCTATAGCTACTCGAGGTATAATGCAAGGGAAAAAGTAGTAGCTTGACAACCAGAAAACCAGTATTTAAATTTTGCTCCTCATGTATTAGCTGTAGGACTTAAGACAAGTCGCCAAAACTGCTTCAAGCACAGGATTATCAACCGTAAATCGAGAACAGAACTTCCCCACATCTAGTATTTCATAAATTGTGAAGAACTTTAAATATTGGCGTTAGGATGACCGGTCTGTCAATTCCAATTTTCACAGTAATAACCAGAGAGAAGCATTAGGATGTCTAACATAATTTTTAAATTGAGCTTTCCTGCTCTTTGCAAGAGCAGGCCTGGGCGTATTGCTGCAGAACTCGGAAAGCTGAAGCAGCTGTGGCCAGGGCGTGGGGTTCACGCGAAGCCCAAGCCCAGAAACTCTACAGCAGAGGAGACGCGCCTCAGCCCCAGAGCTGAGCTTTGCAGGCACAGGTTTCTCTACGAATAAGATGCTCTCTGGGCTCCGCGAATCTGTACATTGGACCAGTCACACAGAATGCAATTCGAAATTATTTTTTTGGAGACTTCTCACTTCGTTTTCTCCTTTTTTTGAGGATGCTGGGCAGTTCTATGGCCCGTTCCTTTCGCTGTAAAGTTTGGATGTCTTCAGATCCATCCAGCCTGCTCACTTCCGGCCGTGGAGGGTTTCTCTCTACCCGTTCCGCCTCTACTCTGTTTGTGGTCCCAAAACCTAGAGGCCTCCTTCTCTGCTCTCTTTCAGCTTTTTCCTCTCTTTCCTTCAATTCTGCCCTGGCCCTCCTCATCCCGTGGCATTTGCTCTCTTCCCACTTCTCATTCTCTCCAGAAAAGGGAATAAAGCGCAGACTGTCGCCTCAAGAGGGTGCTCAGTGAAGTAAGGGCCAGGGGTCGCTAATTCCCACCCCCTCGCGATTTCTAAGTTATTTACCTTCATCGCAAGCCTCCAGCAGCCGCGCGATCTAACAACTGCGCAGGCGCACGGGGTCTTCTTCGAGAGGGCTCGCGTTCCCGTCACCCAGGAGACCGCGCGAGGAGCGGCCAATCGGCGAGCGTTACTGAAGGGCGGTGCCCAGAGGGGTGGTGCCTGGATAGGATCCTCCTCGGGGAAAGGAGGGAGGCGTGGACCTGGGTCACGTGACGAAGGCGGAGCTAAACCCCAGGAAGTTGGGCGGTGCGAGGTCCTGCGGCGACCTTGCTTCCTGCCTGGGCTCTCATTGGGCGAGATCGGAAGGGGAAGGCGGAGAGGCGGGCTCCCTGAGCCCTGGAAAGGCGCCTGCGTAGTTATTGCTCGGTGGGTGATTTAAGAAGACAGATAGGTTGCCTATGAGTTCAAGACAGAAAACGCCAGGGAGCGATGGCCACCAGGAGGCGGGAGATGCGTCTCAGGCCAAAGATGGTCTACGCGAGACGGTTTGAACGGCTCCACGTGTCATCTTTCTCATTCCTGCAGTTTTCTGGCCTTGCGGGGTTTAAGAGGTGTGAGATGTAGTTTCAGTTGTTAGGGTTGTTTGTTTGTTTGTTTGTTTTTTATTTCAATTAAATAGGCTGGCGAAGGTAGGAAAAAAGTGAGCTTCTCTTTCAAGTGTGAGCGTGGGAGTCTTCCCCCAGTCTGCCGTACTGTAGTGTTTGTGCATCGTTTTTTGCAGTATGAAAGAGCATCTTTTGCACCAGTGTCTGAAAACGTTCAAATAATGCACGCTTTCCACTACTCTCCGTGCCCCCCAGCATCAGGTTGGAGTCTGGCTTCAAGGAAACTAGTAATTTGAGATAACCAACAATAGATGTTTGTGGATTTTAAAGAAGGGTGGTACTTCTTTGCCCTGGAGTTTTCATGTGGGTTAATTCCTAATTTCAGACCACCTGGCTTTAAACTAGAAATCAGTGACAAATGGAGAGACCCCAAAATTTGGAGGTTAAACAACACACCTTAAAATAACACGTATGTCAAAGAATAATCTCAAGAAAAATGTTAAAATATTTTGGATTAACTGAAAGTGCAGTTTACCAAATTTATAGGATGTCACAAAAGCACCCCCTCAAGGGAAATTTATAGCATTAAACATATATTTTAGAAAAGAAGAAAAATCCAAAACTGATAACCTAATCTTTCACTTTAGGAAACTAGAAAAAGAAAAGCAAATCCTAAATAAGAGAAAAGGTATGATAAAAATAGCAGCAGATACAAATGAAATTGAAAACAAAATCAATAGAAAAATCAACAAGACCAAAAACTGCTTCTTTGAAAAGTTTTAAAAATTGCTAAGCATGTGTAAATACCATATTGTCTCCCTAGTGTAAGAACCCGAAAGAAGAAATAAAACCTAAAAAGTATAATAGATAGTAAAACAGAGAGAAGCTGAACTAAAGGATTAAACAACAAAGATAAGAGAAATGAGAAAAGATGGGAAAAAGGGAGAAAAAGTGCAATATATATATACAGGATGGCTGAGGTGATTATACTAAAAATTTCCGTCAGTTTTTTGAAAATAACAGTGTATAGCATTTTCACCTTGACTAACTCTGTATGCTGATATCTGTCATCTAAGCAATTGACACTGAGGACAGCAATGTATAATACAAAAAACATACTTGAATTCCTCTCATCTTGGTCTTCTAAAGGTGTAAAATCTCTAATATAATACCAATTATTATACTCATTAAAATAGATTTTTTTAAAAAAGTAAAAAAAGACAAAAAAATTAAGGTTTCTTGAAAACAAGTGGTAATATTCCATTATTTGTCCAGTCTTGCATAACTGTATCTGTTAATCTGAGATTTGACAATAAAATAGATAATGGAATCATCATTGTTAATTAGCTATTCTTGTTTTGAAAATCTGTAACATATGTATTGTTGTATGTTATCCTCTTTCTGTCTTTGTTTCTGCTATTTGTTTTTACTATTCAAAATAAAATAAAATTTAAAAAATAAACACATTCTTATCATACTATGTAGCAATTGTACATCTTAGTAGTTATCCAAATGAATTAAAAATTCACATCCATACAAAAATCTATACCAAATAATTATAGCAGCTTGATTCATAATTGGTAAAACTTGAAAGTAATTTAGATGTCCCACAGTAGGTGACTAATTAAATGATCCATGGTATATCCAGATAATGGAATATTATTTAGTACTAAAAAAGCTGAGGCATCAAGTCATAAAAAGATATGAGAAGAGCCAGAAATAGTGGTATGTGCCTATAATCCCCGAATTTGGGAAACTGAGGCAGGAGAGGAAATCACAAGTTGGTACCCAGCCTGGGCAACTTAGTGACTCAGTGAGTCCCTGTCTCAAAGTAAAAGAGGGCTGTATATTATGTTTGGTATATAGCTTCTGTGTTCAACACTCAATCCCCAGTAACACACACAATCAAAGATACAGAGGGGACTAACAGCCAAGTTGCTAAATGAATGAAGCCAATCTGCTAAAGTTACATACTATATGATTCCAACTATGACGTTGTGGAAAAGACAGCACTATGGAAACCACAATCAGTGGTTGCCAGGGGTTAGGGAAAGAAAAAGAATAGGCAGAGCACAGAGGATTTTTATGACAGTGAAGTCACTTCATTGGCCATGTATTGTGGAAATACACCATTATACATTTTTGCAAACCCATAGAATGTACAATACTGGGCACGTCCCAGTGTAAACTGTAGGCTTCGTGTGATAACAGTATGCCAGTGGAGTCTCCTCACTGGTGTCCAATGCTGTGGTTAAAATGGAATTTCAAGGGATTTGGGTATCCAGAACAATCTTGAGAAAGAGGAACAAAGTTGGAAAATCAACATGTTTCCATTTGAAGACTGCAAAGTTTCAGTAACTAAACCAACATGGTCTTGGCATAAGGGTAAATGTAGATCAATGGAATATAATTGAGAATACAAAAATAAAACTATTCATCTGTGGCCAGTTGATTTTTAGTGTTTATCAAGACAGTTCAGTGGGTGAAAAATAGGCCTCTTTAACAGATGGTGTTGGGTATACAAATTAATTCAAATGCAAAAAAGCCCTAAACTTAAGAGAGAAAATGATGAAATCTTAGGGCCAGGGAGATAGCTCAGTAGAGTAAGTGCTTGTCTGGCAAGCGCGAAGACCTGAGTTTAATCCCCGGTTCCGAAAACAAAACAAAACAAAACAAAACAAAACAAAACAAAACAAAACAAAACAACAAAACTATGAAATCTTAGAAAGAAGCTCAGGAGTTCCTGATGTTGATTTAGGCAATGGATTATTCAGGCAATGGATTCTTATGACACCAACATGACAAGTGACAAAGAAAAACATAAACTGAACTGGTGCCTCAAAGTATACCATCCTGAGAAGACTGACTGAGACTGAAAGAAAATAAGCATAAAGCATGCATCTAATAAGTCATATATCTAAAAAAAGATTTAAGATGTGTCGTATACAGGTGCCACCTACCCACAAGGAATGCACTGTGCTCATTATGTATCACAGCTTTGAACTTAAAATGGGGGGAGGGCACCTAGAGGTAGGAGGGAGAATGACAGGGGAGGGGTGTGAAAAGAATTAAAATGCGCCAAGTACATTATCTACTCTATAAGAGGAATGTGAACATCATATGCTGTGAACATGTACAAATAAAAGTATTTTATATAACCTCTTCAAATTAAAAAAGATAACTCTTTGCTAAAAAAATAAATGACCTATTAAACATAGACAAATGATTTGAATAGATGTTTCTTCAAGGAAGATTTAGGAATGACTAATATTTTCGTTGAATATTATTCAACATCATTAATCATTAAGGGAACACAAGTCAAAACTCCAAGAAGATATCCATATCACACAACTTTTTTTTTAAAGTATAAAATAACAAGTGTTGGTGAGAATGTTGAGATATTGGAGCCATCGTACAATCCTGGCAGAAATTTAAAATGTTCTGACTATTTTAGGAAACAATTTAGCAGTTCCTTAAAAGGTTGAACATAGGGGCTGGGGAGATAGCTCAGTGGAATAAGTGCTTGCCTGGCAAGTTTAAGGTCCTGAGTTGGATCCCTGGTACCACACACACACACACACACAAAGGTTGAACATAGAATTACTATTTAACTTAACCAATTTTAGTTTCTCAGAGAAATAAAAGCATATTTTCAAATAAGAACTTGGGTACTAGTGTTTGTAGAAGCATTATTCTTGTAGCCAGAAGTGGTTATAACCTCAATGTATATCAACTAAGGAATGGATATAGAAAATTTAGTATGTTGATGCAGCAAAATATTATCCATCCATAAGGAATTAAATACTAATAAAGTAGAGATGGACCTTGGAAACAATCCAAGTGAAAGGAACCAGTCACAAGAGGTCACATGCTGTATGATTCTATTTGTATCATCCAACCTAAGTAGACAACTTAACAGAGACACAAAGAAAAATAAAAGCAGAGTCTGGGTGGTTTTATTTTGGGGAGTGATGAAAACTGAAAAATTACATAATGGTGGTGGTTGCACAGTTCTAGAAATATATTAAACCCACTGAATTGTACACTTTCAAGTGATTTTTGTAGTTTGCACCTCAATGCTAAGTAGTTGCAAAGAACTGACAGATAAGCTTCATAAAGTTAGCATCATGGTCAGTAAGGAAGAAAGTGTTTTCTAGGATCTGAGCAGTTTTGGGTTTTATTTGCAAAAAATAAGCTGGCTAAATTTCACAACAGTCCTGTACAACAAAACATGATTATTACAGATGTGATATTGTGCTAGCTATAATTCTTAACCCTTGTTACTTAAAACATACAAACAATAAGCAGTTTCAAGATGGCAAAACTAATTTTTTTAACAGATTTATCTCTCCCAGGGGTCAAATGTTATTCATTTGGTAGCGAAGGTATGAGCAATATGGCACTACATGGGCACACAGGGTCTGAAAACCAAAATGCTCTGTAGTGCCTACATAACGAGAAAGCTTTGTTTTGTTGTTGTTGTGGAAGTATGAAAGGGCCATGACCAGAG